AGTGACCTTAATTTTAATTTTTTTATTTGTTTTCTTATTCAACCATTTGTTATGTCGTTCAGCCAGAGTTATAAAACTATTCTCAACTTCGAATTATGTGGCGTGCTTATAGCCAGTTCTCTTGAATTCTGACGTGTTTTCTTGATTATTTTGTTTTTTTTTTGGACATTTAGGTCAATTAAAGCAGATTCATACACACATCGCATATACAAGACTTGAATCCAAGACCTCTTGGTTGGTAGTCTAAGGCTTTGTTTGGGACGGCTTTCTTACTGCTTTTTAATGCAGCTTTATGGTACAAAAATTTACGAAAATGTTGCATTAAAATGCAGAAGAAAAGTCGTGCCAAACGAAGTCCAGGGGAGCTGCATTATTTTGTTTATCTTACGTCCAAGAGAGAGAATCTTTAAGGTTCATGGTATCCCTAACTTATGTTTCCAATACAACTTTGTATCATGCATGTGCAGGCACTTCATCAAGGTACATAAAAATAGCCTTTTCAATTCGATGAGTATAAATGTTGCAAAAGCTTGAGGAAGTTGGAAGTTCTTTCAATGTAATTAAATCACTAGCTGATATTTGTTATCCAGATTAATTTTATTTAAAATTTTGACAAAATCATCATTGCAACCAAACTAGATTAGTTTTGATCAAATACTAAACCCATGAGCTGAATTTAATATTTTCTGTACATTCTTTCAGTTTTTATGACGGTATCTAAGTGGTTATAATGGAAAGTTAAATATTTTTTGTATATTTTTATTGCTTCTTAAGATAATTTTTTAGTTTAAAAATAAAATTTTTTTAATTAGAAACGTGTTTTTAGAAGCAATAAGAAAGTTGTCCCAAATAAAACTTTAATTTGAGACAACTTTATTACTACTTCCTAAAATAAATTATTAGTACATAAAAATAGTGATCAAAAGAAGCTAATCTTCATAAAATTTTTTAAATAATTTTAATTAATATTTTCTTAAATTTTCTCTTTTCATCCTCTTTATTCAACAATAATAATTTTAGGGTATATCTCTTACCCCCTTGTTTATACACGTCAAAGTTAAATTCATTTTAAATTTCATGTCATTAATTTGAGTTTCCTAAAATTTCGGATTTCTCTTACCAAAAATATTACTGCAACCATCATTGACTATTTCTTTTGGTAGTAAAGAATTTATTGAGTGAATGTATAGTTTTTTTTTGGGGAAATTTTGGGGCATAAGCCCATCATATTGCTAAAAAAGGATTACAAGTAAGAAAAAACAAAACTATAGTCCATTAATCTCACAAACAAAAAGAGATTAAGGACTCTAAAGAAGAAAAATACAATTGGTAAAAAGCAAAAATGGTTTTAATGGCAATGGAAGCCAAGGACTCAGAAAATGCTCAAGTTCACGAGAGGGACTGGAGATCGAAGGGCCTATAAAGAGCATGACCTCTGGTTGCCTAAAGAGGCCATCCAAGAGGGTGCCGAAAAGATCGGCGATCATCATCGTCCTGTCAAAAATAGATTCCCCAGGATATAGCATGACTTGTAGAATCTCCAAAATAACCAGAGTAGATGGCTGCACTAGCAACAGAGCAAAAATCTTCCAGCAAGAACCGAGAGAAACAGCTTCTCTCCACCACCAGAGAACACAAAAACTTACTTTTTCCATCTTAAAGCTTTAATCAACACAGCTTTTTTGATTTTAGCTATAATTGTGGCCTTGCTGTCTATGGTGTTACCAAAACGTCTGTCATTTCTCGCTCTCCAAACATAGTAAATCATGGCAGAGGCAATAAGGAGATAGTTGTTCCTAGTTTTAATATCAAACCCTTGTTCAAATATGCTGTCGAAAACCTGATAGAAGTTTGGCCTCATAAAAAGATTATTCATCCAAGGGAAGAGCCTTTTAGCAATATCAAAAGTGTAGATGCATTCAAAATAGAGGTGAGTGTTAGATTCCAAATCAGCATGGCAGAAGGGGCATAATCTAGGAACCATAATACCGCGCAAAGCCAACATGTCAGCAGTTTTTAAACCCCCATGGAACATCATCCAAGCATAAACAGAAAAACGCAAAGCATTATTCTTGTGCCAAATGTATTTATGCCAAGGAACAACCAATTCATTAGCATAAAAATGAGAGTTGAAATCTTTAAAGCTTGGGTTTTGAGTGCCTATCCAGAAATGGTTCTCAGGTTCAGGATTAATGTGAACAGAGTTTATCCGAGCAGTGATTTGGTTGTCAAAACAAGACGGAATGGACCAGCAATTCCCTTGGATCACCTGAGAAATGTTCCAGTCAAACAGAAAGGCAAAACAGGAGTAAGAGTTAGCACTTCCAACATAGTCAGCAACCGACTTTCCCCCACACCAAGGGTCCCAAAAGAATGAGAGTTTGCTGAGGGCATTCACAGTAAAAGAGATGCAGCCCTGAATCTCCTTGGCTTTAGCGTTTAAATAATCCCAATATTGAGATTTTTTATTGCCAATTGGGTTCCACAGAGAAAGATATCTAGCTCTCCACCAGGAAAAGAGAAGAGAGTCAGAGTTTAGGAATCTCCAAATGGTGGTACAGGCAAAACTATGCTTGAGAGATTGAATGGAAGGAATACCCAATCCTCCGTTAGCTTTAGGACAAGCAGTTTTGTTCCAGGCTACGGTTACCAGTTTCTTTTCGTTAATTTTCCCGTAAAAAACGAATCTGGAACACAACTTAGTGATAAGCTTACAGCAGCCTTTTGGTATAATCGAACCCCGAATCCAGTAGGCCAAAGTGTTTGAGATAGTGAATTTAATAAATTGCACACGCCCAGCCATAGATAACGTTTTGGCTTTCCAGCCCTCTAACTGTGCAGAAATTTTTTGAAGTAAAGGCCCGAAGTCACTCTGCCTGAGTTTTCTAAAGAAAATGGGCAATCCCAAATACTTAATTGGAGAGTTAGCTTGTTGAATATTGAGGATATCACAGATATCACTGGCTGCAGGAGTATTTTTGGAAATCAGAATGGAGCTTTTTAGGGGGTTTACCTTAAGACCAGTTATAGCAGCAAAATCCTTCAGAATAGAATTGATAGAGCAAGCATTCCTAGTGGTGGCAGCTCCAAAAACAAGCAAGTCATCAGCAAACATAAGATGGGAGATCTCACACGTCCCAGATCTGATGGGATGAAAAACATTTCTAGCAACAGCATGTTCAAAAATTGAGGACAGCCCATCCATAATGATTGCAAAGAGGTAGGGGGATAGAGGGCAGCCTTGCCTGATCCCAGAAGTAGAATTAAAATAGCCCTCCAAAATCCCATTGATGCAAATAGAGAAATGGACATTAGTGGTGCAAGCTCTAATCCAAGAAATGAATAAGCTAGGAAAGCCTTTATCACTTAATCTTTTGTAAAGGAAATCTCTAGACACCATGTCGAAAGCTTTAGTAATGTCAAATTTGGCACATAGAAACTTGTGTTTGGCTTTAAGGTTAAAACAACCCAGAATATCAGAAGCCAATAGAATGTTATCAGAAATAATTCTCTTGTGGATGAAACCACCTTGGCTGGGGTGAATGATATAGGGAAGCACCATCTTCATACGGTTTGCAATGATTTTTGCAATGATTTTGTAAATAACGTTACAAAGAGCAATAGGTCTGTAATCTTTAACATTACTGGCATGGGCTTGCTTAGGAATGAGAGCAACAGCAGTTGCTTTAATCTGATTAGGCATGAAACCAGTGGTGAAAAAAGAAGAGATAGCTCTGCAGAGATGATGTTGAATTACATTCCAAGAGGATCTATAGAACCCAAAAGTAAAACCGTCAGGTCCTGGAGCTGTGTTTGGATTACCCGAAAAAACAATAGCTTTAATTTCTTCTATAGTCACTGGAGCAGTGAGAGAAGAAGTGAGGTGAGCAGGAACAGAACTCCCCGGAGGGATAATCAACTCCGTCTGAAAAAGACCAATGGGAGCCGGGGAGTTAAATAGATCTTTAAAATGGTTGATAAAGACAGTGGCAATATCAGCATGATTGGTGAAAGTGCCTTGCTCATTGGTAATGCTTTTGATACGGCTTTGATTTTTGGTAATGTTGATTTTTGAATAGAGAAACTTCAAATCGTCTTCACCATGGGTTAACCATTTAATCTTAGCTCTTTGCGTGATCCAACTAGAAAGAGTCTCCTGATAGTAAGCTAGCTTAGAGCTAACAAGGTTAAGCTTTTCATTCAAATCAGGATCAAGAGGGTTGCTTTGAATCTGAGATAGGATTGAGTGGTAGAGATCTTTGAGTGTGTCAACATCACCTTGGATGAGAGACGCATTTGTCCAGCTTTTGTGTTTCATAGCATTCTTAAGTGTCTTGAGCTTGTAATTGAAAGAGCTAAGAGGGCTACTCTCATTGGGTTGAGAAAACACATCCAAAAGGCAACTCCAAAATTCAGGCATCTTGGTACAGTAATTTTTGAATAAAAAACGGTGTCCTCACTTGCATTCAGAGGAGTTGATCAGGATTAAGGGCGAGTGATCAGAGCAATCCGGATCATTAACTTTGTAAAAAGAGTTGGGGAAGCATTGAAGCCAATGATCGTTGACAAGAACCCTATCCAGTTTGATGTGAATAGGATTATTGAACCCAACTGACACAAAGATTTCGTTGGAATTAAAATAAAGGCATATTGGATAAAAGTAGACTACCATAATCTCAATGACTCTTTTAACTAATCATGGACACAACTTAAATCTCATCAACTTCTATTGGTTTTTTGTTTGGAGTGATGATCGGTCGCTTAACTCTGATGCTTGTTCTCTTTTTTTTTTCCGATGATTTAAGTAGAGCTACGTCGTTGTCTGGAGCTTTCATTTGTGGATGGAGCAAAGTGGATTCGTTAAATTCTTAGGCTTTGTTTTGTTTTGTTTTTGATAACCTAGTTTTTGGCTTGAAATCGAGATTTCCTAATGAAAAAGATATCATAAAAGGTGTTTAATAATGACAAACGACTCTGATCTTCGATTTGGAGGGCTGTTTTAACAAATTTGCTTGTAATTTTCGTAGAAATGATGAAGAATCCGATGAGTAATGAAGCCAATGATGATTTCAAATACAAAGATTTCTTTTCGGTGGACGAATTTCTTGCGCAGGAGGAGTCGTTAGCGACGAATCCTGATTTTGGAGAACCGCAGCTCTTCAATGAACAAAATTACTTTGATGAGCTTCCAAACTCCTCTTATCTTAGTCATGAGGTGGATCCTCAGGGAAACTCGGATGTCTTTTCCGATTTGGTTTTGGACTACATCGGTCAGATGCTCATGGAGGAAGAAATGGACGATAAGTTCGATATGCTTGAAAGCAACCCAGCGCTCGAAGCCACTGAAAAGCCCTTTTACGAAATCATCGGTGAGAAGTACCCTCCTTCTCCGGATCGTCCTCCAATATACTCTAGTCCGAGCTCCGAGAGCTCAGAAGGTCATCGGAGCCACAATTTCCACAGCAGCGGCATCACCGGCGTCAATGGTTTTGCAGACAACAATCAAGATCCGGCTTATCCAGAATCCACTGAGCTCCCCCACTCTCGGATCTACTCTTACCAGACTTCAATCAGCTCAGACTATAGCGTTGCTAGTTTCCTGGAAGGTGATGCAGATGATTTCTCTGATCTGCTTTACAAAAATCTCCCTGCATCCCAGTTTGAGAAAGGAGTAGCAGAGGCAATGAAGTTCCTTCCCAACGAAGTTAAGTTGGATGCAGGCGATATCGGATTCGAATCGCCCCATGAACTGAAAGAAGATCTTGCTTCCATTGAGGGCAGGGCCGACGATGCAAGTGGCAGGCGGCAGAAAGGCCGACACGACATTAATTTTGATTTGGAAGAACAGAGGAGTAGCAAACAATCTGCAATCTCGTATGAAGAACCAACCGTTTCCTCCGAGATGTTCGACATGGTTCTCCTCTGCAGCAACCAAAAGTTTCCCGAAGTTATCACCACCATTAGAGAAACTATCCAGAACGAAGCAGCAAACAAAAACTCTTCAGAAATCACTGAAGTTAAAGAGCCAGGAAAAGGCCGGAAATCCCGCAGCAAAAAGAAGCAACCAAAGAAGGAGGTTGTGGATCTCCAAACTCTACTGATGCAATGTGCACAGACTGTAGCAGCCGGCGACCACCAAAGAGCCTACGAGTTACTGAGACAAATCCGGCAGCATTCGAACCCTCACGGCGACGCTTGGCAGAGACTGGCTCACTACTTCGCCGACGGCCTCGAAGCTCGCTTGGCTGGAACTGGGAGTGCGATCTACAACGCCCTAGTTTCTAAGCGTAAGACTGCTTCCGATGTGCTGAAAGCTTACCAGATTTACCTAGCCGCCAGCCCCCTTAAGATGGTCTCCTACCATTTCTCAAACCAGACGATCATCAACGCAATCGGGAAGGCAACCAGAGTCCACATTCTGGACTTCGGCATATACTTCGGTTTCCAGTGGCCCCCCTTCATGAAGATGCTATCAGCCCTACCCGGCGGGCCTCCGAAGCTTCGCATCACCGGAATCGATGTCCCCCAGCCCGGATTCCGGCCGGAAGAAAGAATAGAGGAGACTGGTCGCCGGCTGCATCATTATGCCGAGAGATTCCACATCCCTTTTTCTTACCAAGTTTTGGCGTCGAAGCTTGATGAGGTGAAGGTTGAGGACCTCCACCTCGACGAAGAGGAGGTCCTAATCGTTAACTGCGTGTTCCGTCTAAATTGTTTGGGCGATGAAACCATGAACGTAGATTGCCCGAGAGATAAGTTTTTAAACAACATAAGAAAACTCAACCCTGCTGTGTTTGTGAATGTGACTGCAAGCGGGACCTTAGGAGCTCCATTTTTCTTGACGAGATTTCGTGAGGCTTTGTACCATTTCTCTGCATTGTTTGATATGTTAGAGGTGACTATGCCGAGAGAGCACGAGCAGAGGATGCTGGTTGAGAGGGATCTGTATGGAAAGAGTGCCATTAATATTATCTCTTGTGAGGGAGCAGACAGGTTGGAAAGGCCGGAGACGTATAAGCAAACGCAGGTGAGGTGTTTGAGGGCTGGGTTCGAGCAGTTTCATATTAGCTCAGAGATTACGAAGATGGTAAAGAGTCGAGTGAGAGTTCATTACCACAAGGATTTCAGCGTTGATGAAGACGGTAAGTGGCTGCTTCTGGGATGGAGAGGACGAATCTTTATTTGTCTATCGGCTTGGAAACCTAGCTATTATTTGAGTTCTTAGTTCTTGTTTGCTGCTGTTTCGAGCTTGCTTATGGGTAGGGAAGAATGTAATAGAAGCTGGTATTGTACTGGTTTATTTTATCGTCATTTCTATTTGCACTAAAATGAGGCTTATTCAGTTTTTCCAGTTCTTGTTTGCTATATAGCAGATGAGTTTCTTAAGGGTGTCAATATTTGACACGACACGAAAATCCGACCCAAAAAATCCGGGTTGAACCCGACCTGATTTCAAAACGGGTCGGGTTCGGGTTCCAGAAATTGACCTTTTTTTGGGATCACTAGCTTAATAATGATTATATTCTTGATAGGCCTCAAGGTAATGCTTGGTCTCAAACCTCTAATTTAAGCACGTTAGTATCCTCTTTCATTACTAATGGTGCCTGGACTCTTCCTGTATACTTGCCTGCATCGCTATTAAATGAGATTTCTGATATTCCTATAGTAGATTGCAATACCGACAGTTTAATCTGGGATGGTAAAGCTTCTTCAAAATCTGGTAGATTTGGAAGTTTTATGTTTGAATATTATTGTTCCTTGTCCCCCTGTAATTGGGACAAATTTATCTGGCATCCCCATCATTCTTTGAGGTTTTCCTGTTTCTCATGGCTTGCTCTTAAAGGTGGTTTGAAATCTGCTGATGTTCTGAAAAAAAGACAGATCTTGGTTCCTGAAATCTGTAGTCTTTGCAATGTTAACATGGAAAGCATTAATCACTTATTCTTTGAATGTCAATATTCATTTGATGTGATTAATCACACTATACCTGATACCAAAAGACTTATTCAAAAAAAAAAAAAAAAAAAAAAAAAAAAAGATAAGGGAAAAGAACCACCTAGAGACAAAAAATAGGACTACATTTTTCCGCACCAAAAATACACATGACAAAAAAGATTAATGGGAAATTAAAAAAAAAAGCAGCTAAGGAAGAGCTGCAAAAGGGCTCAGTAGAAAAACATATTGCAATTGCCTAACGGACCAGAAACAACACCCCTGGTTGCGAGGAATGCCTTCAAGATGTAATCATGTTGCAAGATACCGCCATCCAGGGGGAGGCTATAGCAATCTAGCATTATTGCCCCAAAAACAGCTAAAAAATCATTTAGCACTCGCCAAAATTGAAAATCCATAAATCCAACAACCAGCAGCAGCGACTGAGAGTGATCCAAGCCCCAAAAACCAACATCAGAGAGCAACCGATAGGGCTTTAACTAAAAGAAACATCCCCTTATAACAAATCCAATAGTAATATATCCATCCTTCCATTTATAAACTTTAGAAAAAATTGCTCTTGATCTTAAGGGAGATCGTAGAATGACTTGAAGCAAAATGTGCAAACCTCATTTCGTTTATTTCCTTCCACACATGGTAAATCGTACAACATATAATGAGCTAGTAAAATCTTTTTTATTGCAAAGAAAAAGTGGGATGTCCATCCACCCAATCAAACAACTACAACAAGTTCGATCTAAGCAGGATAGAGGAGCAATCAGGGATCAAAGAGGTAATAATACTATGAGTGTAAGAGCATTTAAATAAGAGATACATAGAGCTTTCATTGTAGAAATGGCATAAAGAACATGTTAAGTCCACCTGAATATTGTGTTTAATGAGATCCATAGCAGTTTTTAGACCTCCCACTAAAGCCATCAAGGTGAAAACTGAGTATTTCAGAACATGACCCTTGTGCCAAAGGGAATTGGACCAGTTGCACACAGGAGCAGTTTTGTAGAATTAAGTACGAAAATCTCTGAATTTAGAGTTAGGTAAGTTACCCCAAAAAAGGCTTTTAGAACCTTGGTCATGGATATTGACCATGAGAATCTCATCAGTAACAGCCGTGGGTAGAGAGCAAGGGAGGCACCAACTCCTTCCAAGAATGAAATTGCCCACATTACAACGAGCCAGTTGGGAGGAGTGGATCGCAACAGTGTTATCCACCAACCTATTCCCATTACACCAATAATCCAATATAAAAGAAACAGGAGAACTCGATATAATAAAAAAATTAAAATTTGTTTTGGCTGTAATAGCGGTAGAGCAAATGAATTTCCAGAACTTTGTAGCTTTAGAGTTAGGCGGTTTCTAGGGAGAATTATACTTAGAAAGCAACCAAGCAGCTAAAGGGGAATTGCTGTTATAAATCCTGAGAATAAGGGAACAGTTAAACCCAAAAGGGAGAGCAGGCAAGGACGGTAAGCCAAGACCACCAAGTTTCTTTGGTTTACAAACATTATGTCAAGCAACTAAATGCAACTTTTTATTGACCATGGGATCTCCAAAAAATAAAAATTTTGAGGCAAGCTTCCTGAGGTATTTAAATAAAAGTTTTTTTTTTTTTTCCTTTAAACTTCTGTGTAAGATACTGATTGGATTATATACTTATTAGAAAATCTTAGTACCAGTCATATACTAGTTCCACGTAAGAATGAAAATCAAATTGTTTAGTATTTATTCTAATAATTTCTTTTGTTAATATGGAGTTGGGACAAAAATCTTAGAGCAAACACGAATAAGAAAGAAAAAATACAGCGAGAAAGAAAGAACATCAAAATTTAACGTGGAAAATTTTAAAACTAAAAAAAAAATCACATCACAAAGTCACACCACAAAGAAATTCACTATAAAATTTGGGAGGAAATTGTACAAATCTCTTTCTATGTCCCTTAGTATCTCGTCACTCTTGCACCATTCTACACTTAGAACTAGAAAAGGAACATTTCAATAACTCCAAGAAATACAACTCTTCAAGTTAAACATGAAAAAACAATATGGAAAATTGCCCAACATGACTTGCAGTGTTGTGACACCAAGTTGGGAGAACACGAAGCTCTACTCTCTATCTCTAGTATGACTGTAAATGCCAGGGTTTGAAGCATCACTACACTTCATGGCACTCTGATATCTGTCTATCTCCAACTAGACTAAACAGTGTTGTACTGCTCGGGAACACAGCGTTGCAACATTGTATTGTTGTACGAAAAACTTTTCTAGGTGCAAAGAACTTGAATCCAAGCATGGGGAGGACCCCCTACAACCCCTGGACGAGCTTGACTAACATAATTAAGGCTCGAGGCAATGTAATAATCCGATGGACCGACACAATCAGATTCGCCACAGAACTAACAATCTTTTAATTTGAAAGTAATTGAGATTAATCCTTCTCCCGATCTATAGCACCAATCATAATATATGTAGTGTAGCTCATCCTTGCCCTCAACCTTCATGAAGACCAACTAAAGCTACACATATCTTCAATTTATCTTATGTCAACATCTTCATCAGCATGATTTTGTGTCATGCGTATCTTCTCCAAAGATAATAGTAATCATTTAGGAGCAATATGATGAAATGATATCGAAATTGGATGTGCTTTGTCTTAACATGGAATGCAATATTCTTAGCTTGATAAATAATTGACAATCATGCTATCATTGTTTAACTTCCCATTCCTTTTCCCTTTACTAAGTTCTGCCATGAAACTTTGCAGTCATGTCATCTCCTTGCTAACCTCAGTGATAGCAATGTACTCAGCTTATGTGATTGAGACAACAATAATCTTCTACAACTTGAAAACCTAACTCATTGAAGTCTTTCCCAAATTGAAGATATAACCAGTTGTGCTCCTACCATCAAGATCTCCAATAAGATCATAATCTACATACATCTGTATGCAAAACTAGTATCTCTAAAGCAAAGAGCTTAATATCTATTTTTATTAATGCATGAAAATATATATAAGGTGACAAGGTTGAGAATGATGATGACAACCAACATGAGGGTGATAGCAAGCTATCGGTAGTGGTGGTTGCTTTGTTTAAGAGGTCATCTCACATGTAGGATCACAAGTATGAGGTTGCATTGGTGGGCAGATTGTATTGGCGATTGGTAGGTAGGACTATGTCGATGGGTAGTGTTGTATGTGAGAGGGGTTATAATGATGTGCAGGGTCATGTTTGCACACCCATAATTATCTGTGCAGGTATCTGTTCATAGGTATCTTATAGGTTACGAACAATTTGATCAAAATGAGGATATACTCCTCCCTCGAGACAACTCGTTTGAGGGTCTCGCTCAGGAGCTAAAATGAGCTTAAAATTAGAGCATGGAAAATCGCGGCCGGTCACATCCTCCAAGCGATTGCCCTGCATCGGGCAGGGGGTGGAGGCAATCTCATAAGTTGTTTTTCAACCAGGCAAATCTTTTTCTATTTAAGCCAAAGTTAATTCTCCCATGCTCTATAAGTCAAGGAGCTGCCATCACACATTGCCACCTCTTAAAGAAATTCACTCTCACATATGCTTGGAGACAACACTTAGATGTTACTCGCCTTTTTTACCTCAACAGGGTGATCCAGATCGGCCTGCCATCTCTCACTAACGGCAGTTAGATGTCACTCACCCCCTTGCGTCTCGATAGACCGACTGTTGATTATCATTCGATCCTATCTAAATCGCCTTCTTTAACTGCGCACTAGATTAGCACTGACAATTTATTACTATAGATTAATGAGACAATTATATGCAGGGACAACTACATTCTTCCAAACTCTATAAAAAGGGGAGGGAGAAGAAAAAAGGGAGGGACGAGGGAGGAGACTCTGAAGAACATGTGCCAAATTATAGAGATAGAAAAAGAAAGTTAAAATTATGTTATTTTTAAGAGAATCCATAGAAGAAAGAGACACACAAAGCATTGTATTATTTTTCTTACAAGGCTTAAGCTCCATAGTGTAGGGCTCTTATTTTCTCTATTATTGTATCTCTGATTTGAATAATAAGAATTTTCTCTAAATTTGTATCTCTCTACAATCCACCTCTTTTTTTTTACCCACCTCCTCTCTTCTTTCCTTATATTCTCCCAACGGCTCTTGGCCTACATATAGCATGAAGTATGGCCCATCATCATCCAACGAATAAAACGGGGTTTAACAACATTAACATGTGGATGACAACCACTTTTTCTGTATGCAATGTATTACAAATTATCTCGATTGAAAAAATTAGCCTAAGGGATATATTATAAATTTTTCATAAAATTACAAAGCTTTTTTTTTTCCAATCATACACTTAGAATTTTAAAATCTATATATTTATTTTATAATACACTCAGATTGCCTATACTTTGATTTAGG